GATTTCTTGTAGACTCTCTTTAAAGCAGTGACAGAAACGAGGAATGATTATGTCAGATCTCTTGTAGACTCTCTTTAAAGCAGTGACAGAAACGAGGAATGATTATGTCAGATCTCTTGTAGACTCTCTTTAAAGCAGTGAGAGAAACGAGGAATGTTTATGTCAGATTTCTTGTAGACTCTCTTTAAAGCAGTGACAGACACGAGGATTGTTTGTGCCAGATTTCTTGTAGACTCTCTTCAAAGCAGTGACAGAAACGAGGAATGTTTATGTCAGATTTCTTGTAGACACTCTTTAAAGCAGTGACAGAAACGAGGAATGATTATGTCAGATCTCTTGTAGACTCTCTTCAAAGCAGTGACAGAAACGAGGATTGTTTGTGCCAGATTTCTTGTAGACTCTCTTTAAAGCAGTGACAGAAACGAGGAATGATTATGTCAGATCTCTTGTAGACTCTCTTTAAAGCAGTGACAGAAACGAGGAATGATTATGTCAGATCTCTTGTAGACTCTCTTTAAAGCAGTGACAGAAACGAGGATTGTTTATGCCAGATTTCTTGTAGACTCTCTTTAAAGCAGTGACAGAAACGAGGAATGATTATGTCAGATCTCTTGTAGACTCTCTTCAAAGCAGTGACAGAAACGAGGATTGTTTGTGCCAGATTTCTTGTAGACTCTCTTTAAAGCAGTGACAGAAACGAGGAATGATTATGTCAGATCTCTTGTAGACTCTCTTTAAACAGTGACAGAAACGAGGAATGATTATGTCAGATCTCTTGTAGACTCACTTTAAAGCAGTGAGAGAAACGAGGAATGTTTATGTCAGATTTCTTGTAGACTCTCTTCAAAGCAGTGACAGAAACGAGGAATGATTATGTCAGATCTCTTGTAGACTCTCTTTAAAGCAGTGACAGAAACGAGGAATGTTTATGCCAGATTTCTTGTAGACTCTCTTCAAAGCAGTGACAGAAACGAGGAATGATTATGTCAGATTTCTTGTAGACTCTCTTTAAAGCAGTGACAGAAACGAGGATTGTTTATGCCAGATTTCTTGTAGACTCTCTTTAAAGCAGTGACAGAAACGAGGATTGTTTGTGCCAGATTTCTTCTAGGCTCTCTTTAAAGCAGTGACAGAAACGAGGAATGATTATGTCAGATCTCTTGTAGACTCTCTTTAAAGCAGTGACAGAAACGAGGAATGATTATGTCAGATCTTTTGTAGTCTCTCTTTAAAGCAGTGACAGAAACGAGGAATGATTATGTCAGATCTCTTGTAGACTCTCTTTAAAGCAGTGAGAGAAACGAGGAATGTTTATGTCAGATTTCTTGTAGACTCTCTTTAAAGCAGTGACAGACACGAGGATTGTTTGTGCCAAATTTCTTGTAGACTCTCTTCAAAGCAGTGACAGAAACGAGGAATGTTTATGTCAGATCTCTTGTAGACTCTCTTTAAAGCAGTGACAGAAACGAGAAATGATTATGTCAGATCTCTTGTAGACTCTCTTTAAAGCAGTGACAGAAACGAGGAATGTTTATGTCAGATTTCTTGTAGACTCTCTTTAAAGCAGTGACAGACACGAGGATTGTTTGTGCCAGATTTCTTGTAGACTCTCTTCAAAGCAGTGACAGAAACGAGGAATGTTTATGTCAGATTTCTTGTAGACTCTCTTTAAAGCAGTGACAGAAACGAGGAATGATTATGTCAGATCTCTTGTAGACTCTCTTCAAAGCAGTGACAGAAACGAGGATTATTTATGCCAGATTTCTTGTAGATTCTCTTTAAAGCAGTGACAGAAACGAGGATTGTTTGTGCCAGATCTCTTGTAGACTCTCTTTAAAGCAGTGACAGAAACGAGGAATGTTTATGTCAGATCTCTTGTAGTCTGTCTTTAAAGCAATGACAGAAACGAGGAATGTTTATGCCAGATCTCTTGTAGTCTGTCTTTAAAGCAGTGACAGAAACGAGGAATGTTTATGCCAGATTTCTTGTAGTCTCTCTTCAAAGCAGTGACAGAAACGAGGATTGTTTGTGCTAGATCTCTTATCGAATCTCTCCAAAACAGTGACAGAAACGAGGAATTTCAGTGTTTCTGGAAGCTCTGAAACTTTTTCTCTGTTTTATTCTCTTGGTAAATGCCTGAAAAGGCATTGCAATTGGAACACCTTGATAAATAAAGATAGACAGATTTGATACGATAAATTAACTTTAGATATAATGAATATTCTATTAAAAAGACTGAATATAATATTTGTTTCTTTTCCTATATATGGCGTTACATTTATTTCACAGACATAGACATTTATTTTTATTTTCCCTGATCTGAATTTTGTGAAGGTAGAGTAAGCAGGAAGCGTCAGATAATTTTTGAAGTAGCGATATGTGGAGAACTCCGTTACAAATTGTAGAAAACATTCAATAGATTCTAGTATCATTAAAGTCTTAATTCTGTGTAAAAGTAGACATTATCTCAATTTTGTGCAAAAATAGTCTCATACAAACTTCAAAATCAAATTCACACATTAAATTTTATTAACCAGTCAGTGATAATGTCTCCCACGCCATTCAATCTTTAAAAAAAGTAGATAGCATTCTTATCGATTGCTATAAAAAATTGAAGGATCACAGCCAGAAAATGATTAACAATCTTTTCTCTCTTAAAAATAGATATTAAAAATTAAGAAATTTATTTATTTACCAATAAATCTTCTGAGATTAGTAATCCTAAGTTTTAACTTTCTGTGATCCGATTTTTTCTTATAAATAACGAACGTAAATTAACATACTTCTGACTTCAAAATAATTTACCGGATATTGTAAACAATATTGAATTCTAAAATTATCGCATACTCAAATTAACTTATTGAGTACTAAGTTCCTTCTTGCAAATTATTTCTTGTTTTTAAGGTATTTTCATAAACCAGATTGCACAGTTGTATTACGGAAACACTTGAGCGAAATATATAAACAAAGCGAGGTCGTCAAAGCTGTAATGTCACTGATATCATTGCCCGACAGCTTGCCTGTTGCTGGAATCACATCATACACATACATAATAGAATGTAAATCGTTAATTTTAGCATAAAAAAAATTCACATATACTTTTTCACCCTAAACTAACACAAGTTATATCTTTAGTGTTGTAAAAAGAAACATTTTCCGTACGAACTATGTTTAAGGTGAATTTTATAAATTGTTTCTTTAAACTTAAAAGAAAACAAAGATTATTTTTATACTCAATAAAAAATTATTTAAATATGTAGAGCTGTGTTTGAAGATTATTTTCTTCGCTTTTCACACATTTTTTCTACACAACGCAAACGACCATTTTCATATACTATTCTACTTGAACTCTACAACGAGATTGGAACCCAATAAATGCTCAAAGCAGGGCGTAGGGTGCTCAGTGAGTACAACAGTTAATCAGGAGTGGAGAAAAATTAGTGTCTTGATGAAAAGTTATAGTTAAGTATTGAATGACACTTGCTTCCATCGATCTGTGAGATCTAAGTTAGAGGAGCGATCAGCTGCCAGGCTCTTGTTATCCATAATTTTGGATTAACGGTGGTATCATACGTGATAAATTTCTTGGTGATGGACTCAAAACGGTTATTAATAACATAAGGAGGCTGAAGGGGCGATATTGTGACGTGCGTTTACTCGCATTTTTTGAAAACATAGCATACAGGGCATATATATGAATCAGCTAAGTGACAAAGCTTATATATATATATATATATATATATATATATATATATATATATTAATGTATATATTCATGTATATATATATATATATGTTCATTTATATAATCATATATATATATATATATTCGCATATATATTTTCATATAATTATTTATTCAAAAATTATAACATAAACATATTATAACATCACTACAAAAATAGCCATTTTTTTCAAAACTCCTGGTGTCTAATCAAGTGATGGTGTTGATATATTCATAATATAGATATTAATATATACGTTTCCTATTTGTTCTTTATCTTATATATAGTCATATATACGCATTAACATATATATATTCATATAGATGTTTATATATATATATATATATATATATATATATATATATATATATTCTGTTTATACGTTATTTTTATAAATATAATTTAAGTAAATGTTCTATTTTATTTTTTAATTAAACAGTATTGATTACATTTACCGTCCTGAATGTTCGAGAAATTTCGTAGAAAATATGCGTTCGCCGACAGGAATCGAACCTGTAACCCTAATGGGAACCGTCATTTTGTCTGACGTATTGTTAACCGTTCAGCCGTCTTGGTTAGCAAAGGCCGAATTACTGTTTATAAACACATTTCTACAATTTTTCTCGATCGATCATTTCTGCTCCCGAAACGTATCTTAACGTAAACAATGACAACATACTATCAAAGAGATAAAAATTTCTTTTTATGCGTTATTTGTAATTTTTTTATACTTATATCTATGAAAATAACGTATAAACATAAAATGTATTAAATAATTATCGGACTTAATCCATTTCATTATATATATATATATATATATATATATATATATATATATATATATAGGTTTATCACTGTCTATTGACTAATGATAGCAATTCGTTTATATTAAACGAAATAGGAAAAACTTCTAATAAATCACCTAGAATTACAATTAAATGATAAAGTAAGGTTTGTGAATATATCGACCGAAGGGTGTTTGAAATAAAAAAGAAGGAAATAGTGTAAAAAGATTATGTCAGACATTCAGAAGCTATTGTTTTGTCTCTCGATTTAATAATCTTTAGGTTATAGCGTCGTCCGTCGATATGAAAAAGGACATCTGCTTTAATTACAAATGATTCCCACGAAGGTCAGAACTGAAAATAGATAGGCTGGACGAAATGACAGCACGTTGCTGGATTATATTTCACACGCTTTTCGTCAAAACGTGGCCTTTGTGTATCTCACAATGAAACAATAAATATTCATTCAGCGTTATAATCTTCTTCAATTATGTTTCGTTTCTTCTATCATATTTTTCTTTTTTTTTTCAAATTCTTTCTCTTTTGTTTTTATTCTTTTTTTTTGTTTTTTCGTTTCATTTTATTTTTCGTTTTTATTTTGGTTTTTCATTTTTTTTTCTCATCATTTTTCATTTTTCTCGTCTTTGAAGTTCTATTTCTAATATTTCATTCTTACACATTTTCTCTTCTTTTTCTCTTTCTTCCTTTTTTATTATTTTTCTCCATTTTCTTTTTATCTCTTCTTGCTCCTACTCTTTCCTTCCTCATGTTTTCTTCTTTCCTTTTCTCGCCATTGTAATTTTCCGTCTTTTTTTTTCTCATTTTTCATTTCTCTTTTTTCTTATTTCCTTCTCTTTGCTTCTCTTTATCTTTTTCTTCTCTTTTCCCTTTTCTTGCTATTGTCATTTTCCGTCTTTTTCCATCTCTTTATTTTCTCTTTTTTTTCTATTTCCTTCTCTTTGCTTCTTTATCCTTTTCTTCTTTCCTTTTTCTCGCCATTGTCATTGTCCGTTTTTCTTTTCCACATTTTCTTTCTTTTCTTAATGCACTTTCTTTTCTTTTCCTTCTTAATTTCTTCTTTCTGTTTCTTTTTTCTCTGTCATTTTTTGTCTTTTTCTACATTTTTAGTTTCTTTTTCTCATTTTTTTCTCGTTCTTTTTCTTCATTTTTCTTTTTTTTGTTTCTTATTTCTCTTTCTTCTATCTTTTTTCATTATTTCTTTGATTTTATTATCTTCTATTCTTCTATTTATTTTCTTCTTTCTGTAGTTTTCCTTTTTTTTCTTCATCTTTTTTTCTTTCTCGTTTTCTTTAGATGTTTGCCTCTCCTTTTCTTCTTTTTTTTTCTTCTCTTTTTCAGTTTCCTCTTTCTCCTAACGGCCAGTTGTCATTATTCTCTTTTTCTCATTCTTCCTTTAATTAATTCTGAAGGGACACATCACAAAAAAAAAAGAAGAAAGTTTGTTGCTAGTGAATCATAACCCACTGAGCTAAAAGTCCGTCACACAAAGTATTACTTCTGTAATAATTTCCCTCCTTAACCGTTACTCTACAATCAACATCTTGTACCATATCCAATTAGGATCTCGGCGATTATCGCTCTCTACAACTTCCTATCCATTGTAGATCTAAGCAATGTTGCTTCCTGTTCTGACATCCATTTACACAATCACATTACGCAGGGATGTTTTTCTGTCTCTCTTGCCTTCAATATGTCCTGTGAGTGTTATATTCCCCAAATACCTCTTTCCTCATGTGTCCCAGAAGTTTGAACAGTCTCTTTCTATTTCTAAGCATAAGTGTCCATTCTATTTCCATTAAGACATCCTTGTTTCTCACATGTCTCATACACTGCATCCTCATTATCCTTCTGTAGAACCACGTATCTGTTGCCTTGTCTCCTCTTCATTTATGATGGAATTGTCCACCATTCGCTTCCATATAGAAGGACCGATATTACATAAGTGTCTAACACTCTTTTATTTTGTTCTAACTAAATATTCCTGTTTCTTAATACTTAGCTTTTGGAAGGCATCTTCTACTATACATTGTCATAGATGAAGATAGATATTACATAGCAGTAAAATACTCTTACCTTCGTTTCTATCGAAAGTATTCAGTTAAATTCAAATAACCTTGGGGAAGGTAGGAATCCATGGCTTCCCCCATCTATGGGTTATATATTAAGATTTGTATTTAGAAAAATCATTGATAAAAGAAGAAAAATGTTAATGAATTATTAACTATCCAAATATTTTAACATTAAATAACCCAGAAAGGCTGTTTTTTTACAATAAGGTTTTCATGTACAAGAGCCGGGGGTCCCTCGAGGTAGACGGTTACGTCAAAGGGTAGCTTATATGGATAGGAGGGGAAGATAACAGTTAACTCTAGACTTGAACAGGTTAGGATTGCAATGATCGGGAGGAAACATCCTCTTGGGAGGCTGTTCCACAGAGCAGTGGCTCATGGGAAGAAGCTGTTAGAGTGGAAATTAGTTCTTACCGATGCGATACGGAGAGAATTTGGGTGGTTTGATACAATGTAAGTGATATGGCGGGTCCTAGCCGTGAAGTTTAGTGTTGTATCGTCGAACTGAATGATACACAGAGAAGAAGTGCTTAATATATTTATTCAGCACCAGTATCCGGTGCTAACGGATACATACAAAAATTGCAGAACGATATGTTACAAAACAATTAACAAGACAACTTACAAGGATCAAATGCTGTATAGTCAAACGATGTAAGATCAGTCCGGATATTAATCAACTTAGTATCAACTTATTAATCAACTATTGAAGTCCTCACAAGGAATAGAGGAGGGTCAAATGCTGTATAGCCAAACAAAGTAAGATCAGTCCGAATATTAATCAGCTTAGTATCAACTTATTAATCAACTATTGAAGACCTCACAAGGAATAGAGGAGGGTCAAATGCTGTATAGCCAAACAAAGTAAGATCAGTCCGAATATTAATCTGCTGAGTATCAACTTATTAATCAACTTATTAATCAACTATTGAAGTCTTCACAAGGAATAGAGGAGGGTCAAATGCTGTATAGCCAAACAGAGTAAGATCAGTCCGAATATTAATCAGCTTAGTATCAACTTATTAATCAACTATTGAAGTCATTAATCGTAGACTATTTAAGGCTATGAGCCAGACCATCTGATAGTGTGTTGAAGGGGTGCTAGCTACATTACAACAGTTAGAACTGGCGGAAGTAAAGAATGTAGTTCGTCTGAGCAATTTCCATGGGAATAACGATAGAGCAGTGAGAGACTCGTCACATCCTGCCCGGGGAAGAGAGAGGTTGGAAGATAAAAAAAGAATTCTTCCCCAACAAGAACTCGGAAACGCTTTTCAATTCTATCAAGACTGGAATTACGTTGTGCTTCCCCGCTTCTCAAAAACTTCAATCTCCTGACCTGAAGCCATCCTGTCGTCATATCCAGGACTACCTTAGGGTTGCTTGGATCGATAAGGCCAGCGAACACAACGACCAAAATGTTTTGATAATAACAACAAAGGGGGGGGGGCAATAGACCGAATGTAAATGCTATGAATAATGATAAGTCCTCCTCACAGAAATTAGATTTTATTTGTCATATTAGAAAAAAAAATACTAAACGCTCCTCAAATCTGTTCTAACAAGCTCACAAGCTATCAGTCTCCACTAAAACACTTTTTAATTCTGCTTCGCCATTTGTTTTTTACGACTTAACATTTTGTAGGTTATTTAAAGCCAGAAAACATTTCTATACCGTAAGAATTCTCTGAAGATAATAATGATTTTCAGATACCAGTCCTACTAATTGAGACCATAACATGGCGGCGAGGTTGGTGGATTCATACCCTTCTAAAGGGTATTTGCGAGTAAGTGAATATAACAAACGCAACTGGGAATGAAACTCGTCCTTCCAATATCCAATTTTGTGCCGTTTTCCATTGTACTGCCTACGCATTCATGCTTACAGCACCTGGAATTCCCAGGCGGACACCAATCTAAGTACTGACTAGACTCGATGAAAATAACCTTGGGGAAGGTATGAATCCAACTCTTCTTCCCAGCTATGGGTTAATTAGTAGAACTTGTATTAGTACATCTTCATTATCTAAAAAAAAATTCAATCTAAAAATATTTTCTGGCTTTAAATAAACCGTAAAAGGTTGATAAGTCGTAATGAACAAATCAATCACTCGTCTCTGAAAATTGTTCACTCTTTTCTTATAAGTAGAGCGAGTTCTATTATAACTAATTTCCCTGACCAGGAACGCCTCGTCAAGATGTTGAGTAGCAATATACCTATAGAAATAAGAGCTTCCGCTTGTTAGCTTCCGGCTAAAAAACAACGTAAGAATCACCTCCATTGTATAGGGAGCAGAGTGTAACTTTTACTAACTCTACCTCTTGGGAAACGGAGGCAGAATATGATACTCGTATTTGAAAACTACAAGTTCAATGGTAGGCACACAGTTTCCTACAATTTTTGCTGTCTTATGAATGAATGGCTTTGAACGTAACGGTCGAACCAGGAGGCCTTTTGCGACCGAAATTTTAAACGATTGTCGGACTATACTTGATACACTAATATGGATTCTTCCCTGGCTTTTGAAACTGTGGTAGTTTCAAAATAATATTAAGCCCCATAGGTGGCATTTCCACTCAAGCAGTACCTCTCCTTCAGGGAAGGGCCGAGATCAGTACCCGGTGTCTGAGGCGCACCCAAAAGGGGAAGTGCCGAGGAGGTTTGAGCATTAGTTATGCTATATATATATATATATATATATATATATAGAGAGAGAGAGAGAGAGAGTAAAGCATGGAACAAGAAGGAGTTCCACAAGCGAGAAGTGTGAGAAAAGAGACTGTTAGCATAGAATTTAGCCGTTGAACCTACTTTAAACTTGGACTTCATGTTATATTCAGTAGCGATCGGGCGCGTTTAAAAATAACTTAAACTTACGTCTATAATGGCTGTACCTCCAGCGTCTGTTTTATTTGCTGCAACATATCTTCGTTTCTTTTGCAAATATTACAAATATTATCTATCTATCTATCTATCTATCTATCTATCTAGTTCTCTCTTTATATCTATCTATCTATCTATCTATCTAATTCTCTCTTTATATCTATCTATCTATTTATCTATCTATCTATCTAGTTCTCTCTTTATATCTATCTATCTATCTAATTCTCTCTTTATATCTATCTATCTATTTATCTATCTATCTAGTTCTATCTATCTATCTATCTATCTATCTAGTTCTCTCTTTATATCTACCTATCTAATTCTCTCTTTATATCTATCTATCTATCTAGTTCTCTCTTTATATCTGTCTATCTATCTATCTATCTATCTAGTTCTCTCTTTATATCTGTCTAACTATCTATCTATCTATCTATCTAATTCTCTCTTTCTATCTATCTATCTAGTTCTCTCTTTATATCTAATTCTCTCTTTCTATCTATCTATCTAGTTCTCTCTTTATATCTAATTCTCTCTTTCTATCTATCTATCTAGTTCTCTCTTTATATCTAATTCTCTCTTTCTATCTATCTATCTAATTCTCTCTTTATATCTATATATCTATATATATATGTATATTATCTATCTATCTTTCTCTCTCTATATATATATATTATCTATCCTCCTCTCTCTCTCTCTCTATATATATATATATATATATATTATCTATCCTCCTCTCTCTCTCTCTCTCTCTCTCTCTATATATATATATATATATATATATATATATACGGAAGTCTATGGCAAAGTGGCATGGACAGTTTTCTTTAAAGTTCAATGCATTTCATGTTAAGAGAAGCGTTTCTATTTATATCGTCTCGAGTATAATGAAACCATTTCATTTTGCATCCACAATTGCTCAAATTAACTACTGAAGCAAAAGAGCGACAATTACTTGCGTCTTTAACCTACAAATCTCGTTCGCTGACTTGTTCTGCAAAGAGAAATCTGCTCATCTATATTCTATCATATTTAGGCCAAACTGGCTATTCTCTTAACATCAGTGCCCTACTGGCAGATGAAGAACAAGCCATCTTTTTATGCATTTAATTCCTCACTCTCACTTATTCCAATGCTCTCGTCTCCGCTAACCAGAGATTTTAACTAGAGATTTTTTTCCTCGTGTCTAGCCATAATTCGTTCTTCTACCTGTGGAACCGCGTCTAAGCACCCAATTAACCCAACCTTATTCACATTGGGTGTTTTGTTTTCCTCAAATCTTTAAAGTACTTGTAATTCCTAGTTGGCAACATATTTCAATTACTCCCTCCCACAATTTCTCTTGATTCAGTGAGGGTGTGTAACACGTAGAATGGCGCAGTTGTAGCTCGGTTGCTGTGGGAGGTAGATGTCGTTTTTGTCTTCTTTGTCTTGTCATCCCTACCTAACTAATGAAAGTAAATCTTTCTTATATATATATATATATATTATATATGCCTATCTAGACGA